TTTTAGGACTATTTACTGATTGTTCAAATAAAAATGTATATCTATTACAAATGTGCTGGATCACAAGTGCATTTTACGAATATATCCTTTTATTTGAAAGTATAGCGCAAAAAATCTTGGCAAACGTTTTCTCGCTTCTGACGTCATTAAACGAGAGCGGACTACACAGAAATCTTGAAACAAAACTGTAAATTCATCCTTGTCTTCATTGTAGTTCACTCTGTAAATTATGTCTTTTATAAGCATGTCAAATTTCAAAGCGATGTCTTTAGTAGCTTCTTAGGAATTTCTTCCGCAAACTTGAAATATATAATTTCGAGAAAAACAAGTTTAAGGTTTTGTATTATGTTATTTTGTTCAACTGTAGATTTTTATTACATGCCGATCTAGTCAGCCATTCAAGGACCATAGAGCATACTATCTGTTTTCTCGAATAAGTCGAGTAATCCTTAGTAATTTTCGTTTTTATGAATTTTTCATGACTCGTGTAATCCTTGACGCCCGGCAGCCTTCAATCGTTTTGCGTCGCGCTAATCGATGAATACTTTGGTTTGAGGACTAAATTTTATCTTCAACATTTCCATGATGTTTAATAAAGCGGAATATTCTTCGTTTAAAATGCAGGCTGCTAGGAAATCAGCAACTTCTATAATTTTCGATGCAGATAAAATATCCGTAGTAAATTACTGTACCACAGCTTAAGAATTATTATTATTTTTTAACCTGATCCATGTAATTAGATACATTATTAAAATACTTCTGATATAGCATAAGAACGTCTTGATCTTCCCTTCATTTTTTGAGACATTCAACAAAGTCAAAAAGGAGTGATTACGAATCTCCAGGATCCCTTACTCTTTCCCGAAACATTCGTTCACCTCGAAAGAACATCCGGCTGCTTCCGCTTCTCCTGTGAGGTTTCTCACTCTATTTTGACGTGATAAATTCCGGGGATGTCGGGACTCCACCGTACATCTCGAGACGGCGATTTTCGGCTGCTCTTTCGCAACGACGACTGATCTTTTTACGCGTCGCCGTTCGTCCTTCGATTACGTAAGAGAGGCAACCGGTTCCCCACTGTGCAAACGGGAACCCAACGTACTTGCTGCCGTATCACGGTGGCCGATGTGGCGCGAGTCAAACGCGCGTCTCGCAGTCGCGCGATATGCTTGGTCAGCTGAGCGTGTTTACGATGCGGAAAAGCGTGCTGATTCTATTTCACAAGAATATGGATAATTAATCTGTGCCGCGCAAACGTAACATATATCTAATATCTATCTTGTAGAAATATCTGCCGCGTGCGGTGACGAATATATCGCTGTGAGTGATCGCTGCGCGGGGAAGGAAGTCAATTTCAAGCGCGATCTTCGACTGTCTTCAGGTATTTAAATTTCTCGATCTTTTCGATCGAAACTTCTCAGAAGCTGCGCATATTCGATCGCTAAAAGCTCTTTATTTGCGCGCGGTGTATATACAGGGCAATTGGGAAGGGAACCGCAATATTTGAAAAATGTGTTCGGGCGATCGAAATAGACAATCAAAGTTTTATAAAGATCTGATTCTCAGTCGATACGGAGTTAACGGATGTTATAAATAAACGTTCGCAATGTAGACCAGTGGTGCTATGTGGCAGACCGGGCACACGTTGAAACTGAAAGTCGCACACGTAGCATGGGAAAACAATAGTTTTGGAATTGTAAGCATTTATTTTGACGTTTATTTGTTGAAGTCGATTAATTAGATATTACATACTTTTGCAGTGCCTGCAAAATTTACGCATTTACGCGTCGAGAATATGCTGATATCAGTTTCATTTGTGGGACTGCAATGGGAGCCCGATCTGCTATATGGCATTGATCGAACGTCGTTACGATGCGAAAGTTTATTTATAACATCCATTAACTTCGTAACGACTGAAAATCGGACCATGTTTATGAGACTTTTTTGTTTATTTTGATCCCCTGAACACATCCTCCAATATATAAATGTTGCGTTTTTCTTCCTAATTACTATATACAAGTTGTTCCTACGAATCGTCTCTTCGAATTGATCGTTTTTTTTTCATATTAATGATTCAATTTTTGTATTGAAATTTCCGGCTTCAATTAATATCCAATTAATTTAGAATACGCTTATTTAAGCACTATAAATCTTGAATTAATATATTGTATAATAATTTTGGGACATCTTATATTTGCCCTGAAAAACTGCACGTCATTCATGTCAGTATTTGCAGCCGTTGCAGAATTTACATTTACAATTAGTCACGAAAAAAATGCAACTCTCTTTTATGGTGAGTCTCGCAATGCATCTCGTATTCAGTAGGAAAACATATTTCTTGACAACTATTAAAAAACAAATTCTTTTATTGGACGCGGGATGCGTTTCGAAACTTATTAGAAAAAAAACTTTGCAACCTTTTCATCACTGACCATACATGTAGAAACGCAACGTCGAAATGCAAAAGGCGTTCTTATCAATCATTTTTCAGCATGTTGCACGTTTTTAAGAATATTATTTATTTTTTGTTATGGCATATAAATTTAAATTTTAATAGCCGCATAGTTCCGAATTTATTGCGCAGAGCGAATGACACGCAAATATCGTTGCATATATACGTATAATTGCATATTGACGTTATGTATGCTGTGCTATAATAATTCACAGGACAGATGCAACAATTTATTTCTTACATACTTCGAGACACACAAAAAATACGACGAAGCGAACCTATCATTCACGAACATGCACAACAGATGGTCGGACAGCTGTCAAAATTATATACACACATGTAATTTTGACATGTACATATCTCATTTTATGCATATCTCAAATATATATTTTGAGTTACTAAAAGTTATTACAAGTTATGGGCCCATATTTAGAACACGTTTACAATGAGGTTAACACGCTATCAAGTTAAGAGATAAGAGCATTTTCAATATCGCTTGTATTGTAAACGCGATAAAAACAATGCTCTGTTAGGAAAAACCGATAATTATTTTTGCGTTTTTGCAGTTTTTGCAGTAAAATATCTACTCAGAACTACCAATAAGTTGACTTGTTAACGCGCTAACATAATTGTAAGCGTATTTAGAATAAAGGCCATGAACTTTGCAACGTTGTATTTTATAAAACAAAATGATCAATAATTCTGAAATTTTTGTATAGTGTCTCTAAACTAATCCTTAATATCATAGTAGTTTTTCATTGAAACCCTAAATGTGATTTGGAAGAAATTAAAATTAAAATTAAAAAATAGGACTTTAACTTCGAGGAACACATAAAAAGTATAAAAAATGTTATTTCCAATTCCCAAATACAACAAAAAGTCACATAAAAGTCAAGATGACGTCAAAAAACGATGTTAAAAAGATATATTATTTTGACGTCATCTTGACTTTTATATGATTTTTTTGTTCTACTTGGGTTGCCAACATCTTAGCTTCCGAATGATCGAATCGTATTCTAATTGCGTCAATAATTAGGTCATATTTAAATCTATATATAATGGAAATATCAATGTATTCTTAAAAAGTTCATTTTATGCTAACATTACTATTAATAACCTTAAAATAAGCGAAAGAGAAGTTGGGATTTTACCTGAGATCCAAAAACAGGCCAAAACGCGTGCAAAAGCAATTAAATTTAAACAATGATACCACTACAACAGGCGAAATTAAACAATTAACTATCAGTAAACGACAGTTCTTACGTTTGCGGTGAAAGTTTCGTCGTGTGGACTAACCTATGGACCGTATTTCACTCGTACGACTTTACAGCCGGGACTTCGCGTACTTTCCGCCTGTTTTTATTCGAGCTCTAATCTCGCGTGTCTCTAATATCGCTGCGAGAAAAGTCATCCCGTTAACTTCGGCGGAGCGTTCGATTTTAATTCGCGAAGTGTTCAATCAAGTTGACGAACAATTCCTTTCTTTTTTTCGGGATAAAGTTGGTGCACAAGCACATGGAGAGAAAAACTCGGTTTGCGTAATTGAATTTCTGTTCCCGGAAGACCGGAGGATGAAAACTCAGTTACAGGAACAGGAAGATTCCTGCAAGAGGTTTTCATCAGTCAGTCAATTGCTCTCGGTTATCTCAAGCGAGTTTTAATGTAGCCGAACGTTCAGACAGTCGCAATAACGGAGAGATCATTTCTTGTCGCGTGTTTTCTTGTCTTGCCCTCACTCGGTTATGTCAACTGAAATTTTTTGTTCCGTGTATAAACATACGGAGGAAAAGTCGGACCTCCAGGGAGCCAGACGAAAACTTGACCGCAGGAACAGGAAGATTCCTGCAGGAGGTCTTCGTTGTTCAATCAACTACTCGCGATTGTTTCAACCGAGTTCTAATGTATTCTGTAATTGGGAGATGGAAACCCACTAATAAAAAATCATTAATGTTCATATTAAGAAAAAATCACTTAAAACCAAGACATATTTTTGTAATAGCATTCATTTCTACTTTAAACGTAAAGAAGAAGAATAATTTCCCAATCTATTTTTAGGCTTTGATATTTCTGCCATCTGAGAAATTTAGTCCATTTCTTCCAATTGAGAGATCCAAAAAACCGTTAGAAACGTACGAAAAAACAACCCTAAAAATATTCGAAAAATATACTATATAAAATAATAAAAAAATTCCATCTCTCCACAAAAAAAAAATAACAAAAAGTCGCTATTTCCAGTGATTTTTTATCTCCCAATTGCAGCTGGTCCAAAAATGACAAAAATTGGGAGATGGACAATCATTAATAGAAAGTGATGTGAGGGACGGTTTTTTGCGTATTTTGTTCGTTTTTTGGCGTTTTTTCGGATGTTTTCCGCGTTTTTAATGTTTTCTGATCTCCTAATTTGAATAGTCCAGAAATAACATCTTGCTACATTAATTATTATCTGTTACTCGAATTGTCGTTTGGTCTATGGAGAACGGAAGTTCGGTCACAAGAATCAAGCTTTTGTTTCCGCGTATTTAACTGACGGGCGATTTTGCTTTTTCAGAATGAAGCTCGGGCACACGATCAGCGATTCACGCAGGAAATGCCCGGAACTCACGGACGAGCTGTTGGAGGTTCTGCAAAATTGGGCGAAGGAGCGCGGGCTACCGCACATTCCTGAGGAGCAACTGGCGTTATTCGCGTACAGCTGTTATTTCGATTTGCAGGCCACCGAACGATGCATGGACGTTTATTACAGAATGAGGACCACCATCCCGGAATTTTTCAGCAACAGGGATCCCAGGCTCAAGTATCTGCAACACTCTCTGAAAGTCTCGTACGTTCTTACTCGCGTCTAATTGTTAATTCGACCTTTAACTCTCGTCTAACAGGACTATACGGATTTCTCATTAACGTTCTGCGTCAACAGAATGTACAGATTTTTCATTAACGTTCTGCGATCGCGGCATGAATCAGCACAATCGGGGAGAAAGAGAGAGTGAACTCATCGATCATAAATACATACCGAATGGCCTCTTTTTACTTCTTTCTTTTCTTCTTTAAATTATATTATGCATGCGCGTGACTGTTTTCGCGTCAGAAGCGAAAGGAACCGTAGCGGTAATTTGATAGTATTCTTGCTTGTACGAACCGAATTGTTTAACAACTGGACTTTCTTAATCGGCTTTCTTAAGATAGTTTGATCTGTAGAGTGTCGAATTTTCCACGACGATATTAAAAGGCCCCTACATAAATTTACTGAAAAATTAATACTTTTCTATAACTTGATTGAACTAAATAAGTATTAAATAATAAAATATACATACAATACGTATAATATAAAAATTACGAAGATATTTATATATTATTTTTCTTATTAATGCTTTATTTATATGTCAGTTGATTTAATAAAAATGCACACATATTAGAAAATGGCGTATAAATGTTTAAATATGTGTGTATATATGTATACATATATCACGGATATTTACAGTCCATTTATTCGAAATCTCTATCTCGATGCTTACGAGTCGTTGCTTACCCCGACTCGCAACTGTCATTATATAGGTTACCCGAGCAACACAAATTGGTTGGCTAACTGTTTGCCAACGTTAGTCGAACGTTGGGCAACGGTTAGCCAACTAATTTGTGCTGCATGGGCACGCATTTTGGCACAATAAGAGATATCACTTTCTCGCCAATGAATTTTAGTCAAATATACAAAATTCGGCAAATTTTGTATAAATTTGTATAAATATTATACAATTAAAGATACAATATTTAAAATGAATATTTAAACAATGTAAAAATAAAATATTTTGCAAGTATAAGTTAATTCTTGTACAATTTTTCGTGCGGATAAAAAAATGATTTTATATTTGAAAATTATTCATACATTATTTTGCTCTCTTGGTAATAAAGCTGACGAATAAGGCACTTTCTTGGTAATAAAGCTGATGAATAAGACACTTTCAGCTGTTTTTCTAAAGTAGCAACGTGCCTGTCAGGTTCATTGCGTTTAGTGTTGTCGTTATACGCATTGCCTCCTACGGAAAGTTAAAGAAAATACTAATACAAGGTCGATAAGTCACTCGTCATCGCAGACATGTATGCACGTACTGGCGCAGAATTGAGCGGCGTCGAACGCGATTTCTGTTCCCGATCGATTCCTCTTCATCTTCTTCCCAATCCCGTCTCATCCCTTATCCCTATCGTGTGTGTATATGTATGTACAAATTGCGCGGCTGCCAATAGCACTTTGTGCTTAATATGACCGCATTAGATATCTTTATCGCTGCAATTTCCCTGTTCGCGATGCAGCTGCAGCATGCATCCACCTGATACCGACTAGCTAGTGACGATATCACCGAGAAAGATCCTGTTACCTTCGCATTCTTTTACCGCTCTTCAATTCCATGGAAATCGTTGCAAATCACCGCGACAATGAAGGCCCGGTCAACATTTACTCTCTCGGCGTTGCAACTTCACACATTCATCACGCTCACGCTGATATCTCTCTTGTGTGTTCGATCCGGATTCTGAAACAACGTGAGAAACAATTTAAATTGTACAATTGTATCCGAAATAATTTCCGGTCACTCCTCTCAAGTAAACCGAATCGTTTCAGCTTGCCCTTCTCTTTCGAACAGTTCAGCTTATTCCTGTAACAATTTGAAACAATTTCAAAATGTTTTTCTCTCAAAAACAGGTGAACTTAAATGTTCACAATTGGAATCACTTCCACAAAGGACACAGTACCAACACAGAATTCAGATCGAACATTTCTCCACGTTGCGAAAGCCTTAAATATCAGATGTCGCTTGTATATTTTCGCTATTTATTTATCTCTCGCTCGCCTCTCTTTCTATTCTCACTTTTTTTCCCTCCGCTAATTATGTAAAAATAAGAACGCAGTAAATTTTTAAATTAGATTTAATTGCGTGTCCTCACGTATTAGCATTGTACTTAATTTATTGTACCGTGTGAGATATCTTATTCCTAAATGAAATCTCTCTCTCTCTCTCTTTCTCTTAGAATATAAAATTTGCTCGCGACGATTTCTTTCTCATTGACACATTAATTTGCCCGTACTTCGTCGCAGAGTATTAATGACGCTCCCGAAGCCGGATCAAAATGGCTATCGGATAATTTTTCACCGACTGGCGGACACCCGACCGCTCCAGTACGTATTCAACGACACCATCAAGCTGTTGTTGATGTCCATCGACGCGAGTCTCTACACGGACGGCTGTTCTCCGGGATATGTGTTTCTCCTCGACATGCACGGCGTGCGTCTCAGCCACTTGCCGAAGCTGTCGATAAACAGCATCCGGAGATTCTTCGAGTATATTCAGGAGGGCATGCCGGTCAGGCTCAAGGCCGTTTACGTGTTAAACGCGGTCTGGTTCATGGACAAGGTCCTCGCGTTCATCAAACCCTTCATGAAACGGGAACTATACGATATGGTAAGGACAGAAAAAAAAAATAGAGAAAGAGGAAAATAAAAGGGAAAAGAAAAATCAGGGCGCTCTCCAGGTTCGCGCGATTCAGTTCATCGGCGCAAGTGTGATTGATAATCACGCTCCGGACTTGTTGAGCTTCGCGCAAGTTGACCTCAATTGCACTCGGATCGGTGAAAGTCATTGTCGATAAAAAATGCTACTTCATGCGTGCACACCGTGAATATTTATCGCGTGTGTATCGGATACCGACAAAGGCGCTTGATATTTTTCCGACCGCGCGTACAATACTGAGCGCGCGTGCGAAAATTATACGCGTCAAACGCGCATGCGTGTATCCGCTCGTTTAATAGAGTTCATTTATACTTCGTAGCTTCACCTTTACACCGGTGACGTCTCCGACGTATATCCTCATGTACCGCCTGAATGCCTGCCGAAAGACTTTGGTGGGGAATTGGACTGTATCGCAAACCTTCACGGTGAGTACATGCGATATATGCATTTATGCGATTATGCAATGAGCGTGTACAGTTAATTCCTTTAATGTCAGGTTAAGACGCTTCATCTGGCGTGTCTGCGTTATTACACTTAGAATCAATCCTATGTTTGCATACAAATATCCCAGGCAACACGAATGTCTAAAAGACGTCTTAAAGACGTTTTAAAAATATCTGAAAAAATAAGGCGTCTTTTGGATGTCTGAGACATTTTTTAAGAAATTCGCACTGTCTGGGAAGTTATGAGAAATCGCATCATGAAAATATGTGACTTCTAAAAAGTAAATAACATCAGAATATTGCAACAAAGTGCAAGTAATTCTTTGCTGTTTTTCAAAGCTACACACGTGTTAAAACATCGTGTTAAGCTACATGATGTTTAAAATATTGAAAAGACTTAGAAATTAAAGTTTTTCTTTTCAAGAAATATTGGACGTGACATTTTATTATTGAAACAATTAAGAGAATTTCTAAAAAAATCCGTGAGAGAATATATCTATAATTAAAAACTTCCTGCTTGTTATACGAACGCTACCTAGGGAGAAATAATTCATTGAATTATAATAATAATTCCGATTATTTCGACGTTGATTTAATGTTAATTTGCTGTCAATTCGACGTTTATTTCTCGTTAGGTATCTGTTGCATAAATAATAACGTTGCGTTAATATTTATTGTATCTTAATTTACAGAATTGCATTGCGTGAAATTGGACGAGTTGCGGAACTATTTTCGCGAGGAGGAATCTCTGTTTCATAATTATTCATCTAGCAAGACGAAGATATCAAATAATCTACAAATTACTACTAGTAATTTGGAGGAAGATCAGAATGACGATGATACTTGACATAAAAGTAGTTTTAAGATCTTATATATAAATAATCTTATCTGTATAATATGAGGTATTTACTGTACAGATAAATAAAGGTGTTATTATTAATTAGTTAATTAATTATTAATTACATTAAGTATCATTTTAATTTTTTTTTAATTCTCACTTACGTATGGTCATTCACAAAAATGCAACATTTTTCTTTCGATGAATTTCGCAATGCATCTTTTATCCAATAAGAAAATATATCTCTTGACAATTGCTAAACACTAAATTCTCCTATTGGACACAAGATGCGTTTCGAAACTTATAAAAAAAATATTGCAACCTTTCTATAACTGATCATACGTTCTTTCATAGATAATTGTGTTCGCGATTGTAGAAAAGACTACTTTGCTGATCTAACATAAGGTTTCTTACAAACATTTTCAGACTCGTTGTTAATCACCATAGATCAAATTTAAAAGTTTATATTTCATGATCGCAAAAAATAGGCAAAGTTCAACAGGTTGTAATTTTGACATAAATAACGATAACAAAATGGTTCAAAAGTATTTTACAGCTTATAGTTTTCAGTTATCAGATATATCATCGAATATTTAATAAGATTTAATTAATTTTTACGATTGTTGTACGAGAATAAATCGAGATCTGTCAAATATTAAAATTTTTTTATGAAATTTGTCAAACTGCATCACGTAAACACCAAATCAAACACGAATATCGTTTTATAGTGTACAAAAATCAATTTTTCTCTTTAATTTGCATGTACACAGAGTATCATGTGGTTTTATTTTAACGGGTCATTCAATGTTAAAGCAAAAACTGTCCTTTCGGGTTTGATTGTTTAAGCGAACGAATCAGCGTATGACATTTGATAGGCAATGAATAAAAAACTTTGTTTTTTCTATATAATATACATTTATTATATAGTTAATAAAAATAAATTTTCAATGTGAAAACTCAACTGTAAGATGAAGTCTAAAATCGGACAATCGCCATTTTACATTTAACTCAATATATCTGTAATAAATGATAGCAGCATTATATGCATTTAATATGTCTGAAAAATAGACTTCAAGCTTTCAAATGCTTTCGGAATCATTTCGTTATCGTTGTTTTTGCCAAAGTTACAGCCTATTGAACTTGTTTCAGTATGAGAGAAAGTGCTTCTGACTGGTCACTGAGCCAGTCGCTCATACTACTTGAGCAATGCGAGAGGTGTCTGACTTATCGTTATGTTTATTGTGATATCATTTTTTTTTTATTAAAAATAAAGATTGTACATACAAAAGTGGATGCAGAATCCAGCGTACAGGATTCAGAAGCGCAGCTTACTGGACTTATCACGATCTCGAATCTCGAGAAGTATAGTGGCGGCTCGTAGCGGAGAATTTGGAACCAAAAGTCGATGTCGAACATTAAGATTCGAACTTTTCCCAATTATTGTTTACCGGTTATTTAGCCAAGACTCAAACCTTTCATTAGTCATGAAGTCTAACTTTAATAATTAATATCCTAAAAACTAAGATGAGTTCAACGAAACGCAGGAATGGATGGATTATTTTTCAATATAGACTAATTGTATATTTAATTGTGTGACGATCAGTTAACGCATTACCGTTTTCGAAATGCTTATGCACTTATCGATAGCTACGCGCTTTAATAAATGGTAAGTAACATGTAAAATATTTAAACTGTGTTTCGAATATTTTGTTGAATTCATATTAGTTTCAGATATATTAATTATTAAAAATAAATCCGGCATCTAATGGATTACTTGACGCCATTTAGTGATGTCGAGGAAAAATTTATTCGCTGAAAATATATTTGAGCTTGGATAATGTGGCGTCGAATTTAGTTCCAGAGTCACCACTACGAGACGCCACCATACTCATTGACGATTCGGAGTAGTAATACAACTCAACGACCAGTCAGACTCATTTGTCCCTTGCAGTGAATACCTAATAAATAAAATAAAAATAATAATAAGTAAATATAAAGACTAAGGAATACAAAGTGCTTCTTGAATCGCATTATAATTATTTTTATCGATGTTACAGCTTGTATTAAACAATATCTATCCTAAAAATTGAATTTTACTCTTCTCGATCATAAAAAATAGAACAAAATTTCTATAGGTTATATTTTTATCAAGAATAATAATAATGAGATAAAGAAGGATTTTATAATTTGAAGTTTCTAATTTCCAGGCATATTTCAAGGTCAAATCAAACAACTATTTAATTTGTGAATAGTATGATTTGTCCAATCAGCTAGTTTTTGATCTCAAATAATAACTCAATATCGGATTAAATTAATCTTGTATTATTTAACATATTTTTATTTTTCAATAACACGGACAAGCAATGAATCTGATAAAAATTTCTTTAAACTGCATCTTTCTTATATTTTTAATAAAAGTAACTTTTTAAAACTTAATTTTGAAAGTGTGTTTGAAAATTAAACGTTTGTCACTTCTCTCATTAAGTTGATATATTTCATCGAAAAACGACAGCAACATATCATGTATACTTTAATATTCCTGAAAAATAAAGACTTCAAGCGCTTTTAAGTGCTTTTTAAACCAACTTATTATCGTAATCTTTGTCGGAGTTACCGCCTGTCGAGTTTTGTCTATTTTTCATGATCGTGACAAATGGTTTGTTTTTTATGCATTTACTTTTCAGTTCGCTGTATTACTGGTGCCATCTAAACATCGGCCGCATGGACATAACCTCTCGGTTTATGCGAAACACGAAGTTCTGAAGATTTCTTGTGAATATATAATTTTTATTCAGCAGCATAATCTCAGAGATTACTTATCTGTCTTTCTTTCATTTTTTTTTTGTGTCGTTCCTCGAATGTATGAATCACTGGTCGACAGTCGTTATTTTATCTCTTGATGAGGCCCGAGATCGATTTCTCAATTGCAGATAACGCCAGCCAACGTACACGTTGAAGTATACAAAGGTGAAATGATGCAAAAAAAAGAATCACCAAATCGATCAAAGTTTAGCCTATTGTTATGTAACGTCGTTAAACGTTCGTACGCATATTTACACACCTTTCGAACGTAAATTGAATCTCGTCGTGCGTTTCTGGCAGTAGCTGTGCAAAATGTTGATTTCGAGGTTAATACGTGAGGTCAATAAGAAGTGGTTCGTCGTACGCAAGAGAACTACGCAAAATGTGCAATCGGCCAGGGATGCGGTTGTACGTGGCGCTATTATTGTTGTTTGCGCTATCTTCGTAATTTGGTTATCCGTGTTTCTTTATACGGCTTTCTATTACACCTACATGCCCAGTATGTCATACGTGCGTCCTGTACATTTGCAATTCAAGTAAGCTTTATTTAGAACACTGTAAACTCGTATTGTAAAGAAAACGATAATTACGACGGAGATAATGCTCAGAAATTATATTTACTCAAAATATTAGAGATTTTGTGTGAAAAAAACAAGTTGTTGACACACATTTAAAGTAATGAGCGATGAGAAAAATAACACAGCGTGATGTGGCAGTGTGATTGCATGTAACCACAAAGGTGACAATCGTATCAATCGTTCTCACTACTGATTTTCATTCTAGATCATGCGACGAAGAAAAAGGCATTTGTAGTTTTCCATCGGCTCATGTGCAGTTGACTAACAAACAGCAGCTTCTAATGATAGGTCAGGCGTACAAAGTGAATTTGCATCTGGAAATGCCGGAATCACCTGCCAACAGAGAACTTGGTAAGATGTCTGATCATATCGTTGGATCTCTTCATGTCAAATATCATGATCTCTCTTGAAACTAATCTATCTTTTAGGTATGTTCATGGTTTGTGCACAGCTGCGGAGTCGTGATGGGTTTCTTGTTGACCATTCCTGCAGATCTACAATGTTACATTATCGTAGTACGTTATTGCATGCCCTTACAACTCTTACATTCTCACCTATGATGATTTTTGGAAACGTTGAAGAGAAGCAAGATGTCGTTTTGGAATTGTTTGGTAATTTTGAAGAGGATCAGGTAATGAATGCAATTGCAGCAGAATCTGATACGTACATTCAGCATTTTTCAGTTCGATCAATTAGATAAATGTATACATGTATTTGCACATTGGCACGCAATTCTCCATATCTGTTTCAGAGTCATCCAGTAACAATTATTTACATTCAGATCCAATCGAGGCATATCGAATTCTATTCCGCTAGCCTCATGATAAATGCCCATTTAACAGGACTGCGTTACTTGATGTTTCATTGGCCAACTCTGTCCGCCATTGTTGGTATTGGTACAAATTTGTTTTTCATAGCACTTGTATGTACGCTTTCGTACCTGCACATTGTAGTTGACGAGGAAAACACGGACGAAAATTTCAGTTATGAGAAGGGCGAAGATGAGGATGAGAAGGATAATAAGACTGTTAGCGAACGTAAGTTATCTTACGATATTTACCATGCTTGTTAAGGTCTGGGTATTTTTTCTGCGGTAGAGGTTCTGAGAAAAATCGTCGTTTCTTTATATTATAGTATCGTCATCGGAAACATCGTCATTGCAAGAGAGTCCTATTTCAGAAGATATCAAGAGTAAGAAGAAAAGTTTCTTATCTCGTACACCCGAGACAATTGGGGGTGAGCCGAGTTATATTCAGGAGATCTCCACATTACTCGCCGAGGCATCAAGTAGCGATAAGTGATTTGATGCTGAGAAATGTGATGGTACGATGTAAGGATATACGTGGTGGATATAATATATAATCAACTATGAGTTATTAAGGTATCAACTATATAAGTAAAAAGAGAATCGACGAGAAAGGAAGAGTCATTAAAATGTATTGTTTGTGTAAAGTGTAAAGTTACTTTAAGAAAGGTGATTTTCAAATATATTGTTATTTTATACATGACATTGCTCTCCTATTCATTTTTCTTTACCATTTCTTCCGTCGACCTTAATGTAGATCCTCGATAGATATCTATGGATAGGTCGGGAACTAAATAATCACTTTGATATGGGTATATATTAGACGGAGGGGGCGGTTCCAGAATTGAAAGTCTATCTATAATATTTTCGGCCGAGATGCCGCCTATCTTGATGTAGAACTTGGAGCTCCCCTTCCTCAGGTAGACAGCAACGGGGAGGATCCACATCTATTCGAGTGGCGAAACGACGCTGGCTGCGCATGCTAAAATGATTACTGAGTTATCCTTGTTTTCGGACTGTACGCAGACTCCGGAAATATCGGGTCCATCGAATAAGATCACTTTGATTTGGGCATCAAGGAACATCAGGCAAACCTGAGATTGCAGACAGCCTGATTATAGATGGGGTTAGCAGACCTTCTGACGGAATAGTGTCCCTTTTGCCGTTGGCAAAGCAGTCAACGGGGATTACAAGGGACGGGAGGATCCGAAGGTGGGAAGTTTGTAGCAGTCGGCCGTCAGTCCAAGGTCCTGATGAGATCCCCGTTGCCAAGTAGGGCTAATGAGCTCTCGGCAATGAAAAGACAAAGACTCGAAGGTGGCAGTGGAACTATTAGCAGGCTGCGTAGTCCTGAGAGCTCATAAGTTCAACTTAGGACCCGCGCAACACAGCTGAGTGTCGACTACGTGAAGACATAAAAGAGATTAGCGTACATATTTTACGGCATAATGTCTTTTATATGCAGAAACTGCATAGAGAAAGACGTTAGATTCAAATAAATAATTACTCCAATACTCCTTGACAAATTTTTACTTAAAATCCAAATAAAAGTTTGCTGAGAAGTATTGAAGTAATTATTGATCCAAGTAAAATATTTTCCAAATAAATTATCTAAGTAAAACATTTATTGAATCTAAATAAAAAATTGCTAAGGAGTACTGGAGTAATGATTTACTTGAATTTTACCGTCATCTTTTTCTGTGTGGAATTGTTGATTTTTCGAGGCTAAAGTTGATTTTTAGAGGAGCCGAAGGTAAGTATTCTTATAAGTCTGATAACCGATCTGCAGCCAGAGAGTAACTCGATACTATAGCAATCACACGCGAGCGAGGCGATTCAATGCAGCGGCAATGATTTACGTATATCGTCAGAGTCTATTATAGATCCACTCACTTCGACATATTATCCAGTAAACACCGAGCAATAATAATATTACATTAATGTTATAATTTCCCGTTCAATAATGTAAATGCAATATAACATGTATGTAACAGTCACGTATCGTTGAGTGGGAAATAATAACATTGAATGCAATTTTACTGTCGGTTAATGTTTACCGAGAGTTATTGCCATTACTGTCCTTATTAAAAACACAAAAACACACGCGACATCCCGGTACAATAAGACAATGAAACATCAAATCTGAAAGCATAGATGCGGCCGAGGCATTTCGTGGAAGGAACGCCGCCGTGGATTTCATACAAGACAATTACCGCAATTTTCGCGGCGGAGGCTCATAAATCCCGCATTTAGGACGGCATTCTCCCCGAGCGACATTAAGCGGGCGCGTATCGGTAACGAGTTGAGAGACCCTGCCGCCTCGGATGACTGGTTGGTTAAGTCGAAATACCGGTCGTCCCATCTTAGAGAACTAGCCGAGCTCGAACTGGCGGAGTGTAGCGATAGTCATTCCAGCTTCCGTGAGACTTCGCCACACGCCGGCCTGTGAGTCCGTGCAGGCGCGCGCGCGTGTGTGCGTGCGTGCTCGTGAAGCTAAGAAAAAGGCGCGCGCGCTCGCGGAGGGAGAGGGCTAGGCGAACGGACGCTAAAGGAAAAGGTCCGCGAGAGAGGAGAGAGAGATCGGCAGAGCGCCAGAGATAATTTAACCACCGTGTACCAGGCGTTGCTCCGGTCGTGCCGCTGCTTCGGCCGTCCTCGTGCCGCCTCGTGAGGCTTCGGGCACGCGAGAACCACGCGCATCAAGGTCGCGGCCATCCACCTTTCCCTCGCGGCAAGTGCACGCACAGGCACTACACCGACGTCGGGGTCCGGTCGACCCGGCGGCCAACCAGGATGACCGGCTGTCTCGGTTTCCAGGGACGCAGCCGCCGATGACGGATTCCGCTCGTTCGCATCTCTGCGAACATTCCGAGCCTCTCGTCAACCCGCCCGACTTCTCTTTGCAACGTCCGGATGGGCACGCGAGCTCTTCGCACCCCCGATCGCCATGTCGAACGATTGAAGACGCACGATGCGAAGTACAAGTCCAATCGTTGCAGCATATGCATTCGCTTCCTCCGATATTCGCGTATTTCGGAAGCTATCGGGCATCTCGGCAACGCAATCGGATCGTATTTGCGCAAACTCGACGCTTCGCTTTCCTTTGCTTCAAAGTACAAACTTCAAGCTGCGGAATCGTTCGATTCGTTGTCGCGTGACGTCCCGGCCGCTTTCGAGAAGTGTGTCTTCTCAATGACGGCGAGGGAGGGGAGGATTTGGAGAACAGATGGATTAACGTAACGCGGTGGAGATTAGGGGATTGGCCGCTGCGAAGAAATTCTTTATCCGGGCCTCGGCGGAATCCTCTTCATGAGTCTCTTGCAGACGCGACCCTCCGACGTAATAGACTTTGGGGGGGAGGGGGGG